CTGGTGCAACCACTATGGAGATACCTCAAAGAGCTGGGACTAGAGGTTCCATTTGATCCAGCCATCCCTCTGCTGGATATCTTTCCAAAAGAATTAAAAGAATCCTATCACAGTGATATATGCACACCTATGTTTATAGCGGCACAGTTTGTAATAGCTAAAACTTGGAAACAGCCCATTTGCCCATCAGTTGGCAACTGGATAAAGATGTGGTTTTTCTATAAAATGGAATACTACTCAGCCATGAAGAACGAGAAATTAGATTCATTCACAGGTAAATGGATACATATTGAGGATATACTCCTAAGTGAAATAAATAAGTCACATATCTATAAATACCGAATAGTTTCTCTGGTGTGAAAAACTGTAATAGTACATAAGATCCTAATGACATAAATGACAATGTGAAATAGGAAGAAAAGGGCTACAGTTGTAGGGAAAGTGGGAAGGGTAGGGGAAAGGTAATAAGGGAAAAGAAAAAAATATGAGAAAATGAAAAAATGGAAATAAAGTGTTTGTAAATGGGGAGGGGAGGAGTTGGTGAAGGGAGGGCAGGGACAAGGGTAAAAAATGAGAACCAAGACCTGTCATATAAAGGTACAAGATCCCAATGATGAATGTAACTGTGAAGTATACCTAAAATATACCAGTAAACTCAGTGAGAGAAAAAAAAAAATGCAATCCAAATCAAGGAAGGAAAGCAGTACAAGATCAAAGCAGAAATCAATGAAATGGAGCCTAAAAATGAAAAGCATCAGCAAATCAAAGAACTATTTGTTTGAAAGATTAAGCAAAATAGACAAGCCATTAGCCAATCTTAACAAAAAAGGAAAGGAAACACAAATTAATGCAATTAGAAATGAAAAAGTTGATACCACAGTGAATACTGCCAAAATCCAGAAGATTGTTAGTAACTACTTCACAAACCTGTATGACAAAAAAAAAAAAAAAAAAAAAAAAATTGGAGAATTCAGAAGAAATGGAGAGAGTCCTAGATACGTATGAATTACCAAAACTGAACCAAGAAGACTTAAATATACTGAATAATCCAGTAACAGGCACTGGAATTGAAGCAGTAATGAAAAACTTACCAAGAAAAACCTAGGACCTGATGGAATCATTGGCAAATTCTGCAGTAATGACAGGGAAGATCTAACACCAACACTCCTCATACTCTAGAGAAATTGAGAGGAAAGGAATACTCAGGTCATCCTGGAAGCTAGAATAACTCTGATTTCAAAACCAGACAAAAAGAATTACATGCCAATCTGTCTTATAAACACAGATGAAAAAATTCTCAATAAGGTACTAGCAAACAGAATGCAACAAGTTATCAAAAAAAATCATACACCAGGAACAAGAAATCTTCATCCCAGGGATGCAAGAATGGTTCCACATATGCAAATCAATAAATGTAATACATCACACAAATGGAAGTAAGGACAAAAATCACATGGTCTTCGAGTAAAAGCCTTTGACAAAATTCAACAACCATTCATGGTGAAAACTCTGAAGAAAATATGTGCCAAGGGACCTTATTTCAATCTGATAAAAACCATTTATAACAAACCTAGTGCCAACACCATTTTAAATGAAAAACTAAAAGCTTTCTCTTTTAAAATCAAGAAAACAAAGTTGTTCACTATCACAACTCCTATTCAGTATAATCCAGAACAATCAGGCAAGAGAAACAATTGAAAGAGATACATGAAGAAAAAGAAGTCAAAGTATCATTTTTTGCAGATGACATAATCCTCTACATAGAAGACCCAAAAAATTCCACCAAGAGTCTCCTAGAATTAATAACCAAATTTAGCAATTAGATGTATGCAAAATCAACACACAAAAATCAATAGTCTTCTTATACACTAACAGTGAATTCAATGAGAAAGAAACTAGGAAAACAATACAATTCATAATATCAAGAATGAAAAACCTCTAACAAAATTTATGTAACTCTGAAAAAGGAAATTGAAGATGACATAAGAAAATGAAAAGAGATCTCATGTTCCTGGATAGGCAGAACGAAATATAGTCAAAGTGGCTATACTTCTAAAATGGTAGATTTAATGCAATCCCAATCAAAATACCAAGAACATTCCTTGTAGATCTAGAGAAAACAATCCTAAAATTAATACAGAACCAGAAGAGATGCAGAATAGCAAAAGTAATCCTGAGAACAAAGGCAAAACAAGAGGCATCACAATCCCAGATTTGAAATTATGCTATAGTGATAAAACAACATAGTACTGGCACACACACAAAGTATGGATCAATGGAACAGAATAGAGGAAGCAAAACACTACCAGAAATATTCAGGAAATTAATTCTTGAAAAAGGGCCAAACACTTGAGGAAAGAGGCTCTTTAATAAATGGTTCTGGGAAAATTGGATATCCACATGCGGAAGGTTGAGTGTAGACCAATATATCTTACAATGTTCTAACTAAAATCAAAGTGGATCAAAAATCTAAATGTTAAAACAGAAAAACTTAATGTGCTGGAAGATAAAGTAGGTAAACCTCTTAAAGATGTTGGAGTAGGCAAGGACTTTCTGAGCAGAACCTCAATGGCAAAAGATACAATATTGAGAATCAACAATTGGGATGATATAAAATTGTTTCCACAGCAAAGGAAACAACCAACAGAGCAAAGAGACAACCTACAGAACTGGAAAATATTTTTATTACCTAATCCTTGATCAGAGGACAAACACCTGGAATATATAAAGAACTTAAAAAAAGATTAGGCTCCAAAGTAAAAAACGCAGTAAAAAATAGGCAACTGAAATGAATAAACACTTCTCAGAAAAAGAAGTACAAATGGCCAATAAATAAATGACAAAAGGTTCAACATTGCTGGCTACTAGAGAAATGCAAATTAAAACAACATTGAGAGTCCATTTTCCTCCAAAAAGGATGGCAGTCATCAAGAAATAATAAATGCTGATGAGGGTGGTGGGGGAGGATCCTTCCTACATTGTTGGTAGGAATATAAAGTAGTACAACCATTATGGAAATCAGTATGGAGATTCCACAAACAACTGAAAGAAATTCCATGGAACTCAGCTATTCTCCTTCTAGGTATTTTCTCAAAAGAGTTAAAATCATCATATCACAGTGATTTATGCATACCATGTTTATAGCAGAACAGTTTATAATAGCTAAATCTTTGAAATGGCCTACATACTCATCCACGGATGAATGGATAAAGACAATGTAGCATAACATTTATACACCATGGGGTATTACTTTGCCATAAAAAAGGATAAATTTGAAGCCTTTGTATGTAAATGATGTACCTTGTGACCATAATAATTAAGTGAAATAAATCAGATGCACAATTTAAAAGTCACAAGGTTTTTCTTATAAGAAAAACCCTAAATATCAGGGATAAGGGGAAAAAATGAGAACCCAGACCTGTCATATAAAGCACAAGATCCTGATGATGAATGTAACTGTACTATATACCTAGAATGTACCAATAAACTCAATGAGAAAAAAAAGAAAAACCCTAAACATAAAGAGCAAAATAAAAGATAGGTAGTAGGAAGTAGGGATATCTTTTTCAAGTAGGAAGGGAAAGAAGATATGGAAGGAGAGGGAGAAGGGGGATGGGAAAAAAGAATTGGAGAAAAAATGGAAAGAGATTTTTCAAATAGGCCAGGAAACAAGAGTTAGAAGGAGCAAGGAGGAATGAGAGGGATAGGGGGAGAAAAAAGAATTAAGATGTATTGTGCACATGTACTAACTCCCTATGATAAATTGTAATCATTATGGATTACAAACATGTACTAATAAAAAACTTAAATGTTATGCTGGATCTCAGATCATATTCTAAGGCTTTAAATAGTCACTTGCAGTTGACCCAGAGGTAGTGAAGATTTTATGGTTGCTTACCTTTGGGAGTAGCAGGATTTCTTGTTGTTTTATTTTGTCTCTGTGTAGGCTGATTTATTGAATCTGAGGACCAGCCAGCAGAATCATAGATTATAAGATATATCTTCTGATCTTGCTCAGTACTTTATTGTGACTTTCATTTTCACAATTAAACACAATTTTTTTTTCTGATGATATTAGCTCATTTATTCCTTTGAGGTCATATTGGACTCTCTGGTGTCTTAACAATCAGGGATGCCCCTACTGTTTCTTTGCCTGGAATGCTCTTGAATCAATATTCCCATAGCTTTCTTCAAGTCTTTCATATCACCTCAAAAGTCAAGCCTACCCTGAGTATCCTTTTTAAAATTGTTCCCCCACCTACTTGTGTTCTTTCATTTCCTGATGTTTTTATGCATAGCACTTTGTATTCTACACAATTTTTTAATTAGAGCTTTGTCCAGTTGTCTAATAAAATATAAACTCTTCAAAGGCAGGATATTTTTCCTATTTTTATGTGTATATGCAAATATATATTTAAATATATAATCTAAGAAAGCATACCATTGGCACTCCATATCTAAAGTTTTTTCTTCTATGGAATCTATCACCTGTAAATTTAAAAGACTGAAAATAGAAAATCTGTATTGAATGTGTGGGGAACATTTTCCTTGTCATTATTCCCTAAACAATATATAATACAATATAACTGCTACTTAAGAGCATTTATTTTGTGTTAGGTATTGTAAATAATCTAGAGATGATTTAAAGTATATAGGAGGATATGCATAGGTTATATGCAAATGCATATAGCAGTTTTATATAAGGCACTTGAACATCCACAAATTTTGGTATTTGCAGGGATAATCTCCCCCTGATAAGCTGATATATCACACACACAAATATATCACATACACACATATATATGCTCATATCTCTAGATCCTCAAACAGTACTGTCATATCGGAACTCAAATATTTGTTGAATGAATGAATGAACTATATTGAAGTGGTCTTACTTTAAAGAACTCATAATCCCATTTGGTGTTTGAAATAAATGTAAAGGATCTTTTAACTTATTAATTAGATTAACTTATTAATTTAGATTATTTTTCTCCCTCCAGATTCATCGAAACAAGAACAAGTGGAAGTTCTATTTGAAAGATGGTATTATGTGTTTTGAAGGGAGAGACTATGTATTTGCAAAAGCCATTGGTGATGCAGAGTGGTAAAGCCTATGAGCTCAGTATATCAGTTTTGTGAATATCAGTGGACTATATCAGTTACATGTTATGAAACTTATTTTTATCTTAAATATATAGTCCATCACAAAGCACAGCTCAGCATTTTAATTCCCAATATCAAATTTAATAAAATTATAATTCAGGTGCAGATACAAATATATACTTTTATATTTTGATTTTCTCTTCTAATACCCCATTATCTAAGCCGTTACAAACAATATTCGATTGAATGTGATGGAGCATGGAAAATGTCACATTTCTTTATCATTTAAAATTTAAATCAGATTCTAATACCCCATCCTGTAGAGTTAGTATGAGTTACTAGATTAGGGCCAGCATTCGTCCCACCTCTCACCAAATTACGTTAAAAAAGATCTCGGTGAATCTTTTCATTTGTGGATCCTAGAAGAAGGCTTATTTAGGTGTTTGGTCTATACTAGTAATGCACTGATTGTGCGAGGTCAAATAGTCTCTTGGAGGCAGATACCTAAATTATTATTTAAATATGAAAATCTCTGCTGAGGTCAGGCTCCCTGGAGCTAAGGATTAGCCTTTATGAGTATATGTGGCCAGGCCAGACTTCTTCATATTTCTGGGTGTCTATAGGGGTTTGGGTTAGGCTCCTGTTCTGGTTTTAACTTCAGACCTTGTCTTAATCACAGAGAATTTCCCCATTCTTCTTACTTTTTCTTTTTTTAATTGAGTTTATTAGTACATTTTAGGTATATGGTACAGTTACATTCATCATTGGGGTCTTGTACCTTTATATGACAGGTCTTGGTTCTCATTTTTTACCCTTGTCGCTGCCCTCCCTTCACCAACTCCTCCCCTCCCCATTTACAAACACTTTATTTCCATTTTTTCATTTTCTCATATTTTTTTCTTTTCTCTTATTACCTTTCCCCTACCCTTCCCACTTTCCCCACAACTGTAGCCCTTTTCTTCCTATTTCACATTGTCATTTATGTCATTAGGATCTTATGTACTATTACAGTTTTTCACACCAGAGAAACTATTCGGTATTTATAGATATGTGACTTACTTATTTCACTTAGGAGTATATCCTCAATATGTATCCATTTACCTATGAATGAATCTAATTTCTCATTCTTTATGGCTGAATAAATAGATTTAATAGAAAAACCACATCTTTATCCAGTTGCTAACTAATGGGTAAATGGGCTGTTTCCAAGCTTTAGCTATTACAAACTGTGCCGCTATAAACATAGGTGTGCATATATCACTGTGATAGGATTCTTTTAATTCTTTTGGAAAGATACCCAGCAGAGGGATGGCTGGATCAAATGGAACCTCTAGTCCCAGCTCTTTGAGGTATCTCCATATTGATTTCCATAGTGGTTGCACCAGTCTGCACTCCCACCAACAATGGAGAAGGGTTCCTTTCTCCCCACAACCCTGCCAGCATTTGTTATTGGTTGATTTCTTGATAGCAGCCATTCTTTGTGGGATGAGGTGGAATCTCAGTTTTGTTTTCATCTGCATCTCTTGAATGACCAGTGATGTGGAGCATTTTTTCATATATTTGCTTGCTGCTTGTACTTCTTTGTCTGAGAAATGTCTGTTCATTTCAGATGCCCATTTTTGAATCAGGTCTTTATATTTGGGGGGGGCTGATTGTTTTTAATTCTTTATATATTCTAGATAAGAGTCCTTTGTCTGAGGAGCAGCTGGTAAAAGTTTTTTTCACCTTGTAGGTTGTCTCTTAGTTCTGTTGGTGGTTTCTTTTGCGGTGCAGAAGCTTTTTAATAAGATGAGATCCCAGTTGTTGATTCTTTCTGCTAGTTCCCGTGCTACTGAGGATTTGTTCATAAAGTCTTTTCCTATGCCAATGTCTTCCAGAGTTCTGCCTAACTTATCTCCCAGCAAGTTTAGTGTTTCTTTTTTAATATTTAGATCTTTAATCCACTTGGATTTTAGTTTAGTGCATGATGAAAGATAGTGGTCTAGTTTTTTTTTTGGTACCGGGGATCGAACTCAGGTCCTTGTGCTTGCGAGGCAGGCACTGGAACCACTGAACTAAATCCCTGCCCCCCCCCTTTTTTTTTTGGTTTTTTGAGACAGGGTCTCATTAGGTAGTTGAGAATGACCTGTAACTCACTACATAGCCCAGGCTGGTCTCGAACTCACAGCGTTCCTTCTGCCTCAGCCTCCCTAGTGCTGGGATTACAGGCATGTGCCACCATGCCCCGCAGTTGTCTAGTTTTAATCTTTGGCAGGTTGGGATCCAGTTTTTCCAACACCATTTATTAAAGAGGCTATTTTTCCTCCAGTGGGGATGGTCAGCTCCTTTGTCAAAGATGAGGTAGCTGAGTACATATGGAATTGTTTTTGTGTCTTCCAGTCTGTTCCACTAATCCTCAGGTATTTTTCTTTGCCAGTACCACGCTGTTTTTAATCACAGTGGCTTTGTAGTATAGTTTCAAATTGGGACTTGTTATACACACTGCCATGTGTCTGTTGCCTAGGATGGCTTTTGCTATTCTAGGGCTCTTATGGTTCCAAATGAATTTTTGGATTCTTTTTTCTAGTTCTGTGAAATATAGTGTTGGAATTTCAATTGGCATTGCATTGAATCTGCATAGCAGTTTTGGTACTATGGCTATTATCACTATGTTGATTCTTCCTACCCAGGAGCAGGGGATATCTTTCCATTTTCTTATATCCTCTTCGATCTCTTTTTTTCAGAGTGCTGTCGTTTTCAGTGTAGAGGTCTTTTGCTTATTTTGTTAGGTTGATTTCTAGATACTTCATTTTTTGGGATGCTATTGTGAAAGGAATTGTTCTGTCTCAGTGAGTCTGTTATTTGTGTACAAGAAGGCTATTGATTTTTGGGTGTTGACCTTGTATCCTGCTACTCTGCTAAAAGTGTCAATTAAGTCTAGAAGTCTTTTGGGTCTTCGATGTAGAGTATCATATTGTCAGCAAATAATGACAGTTTAACGTCTTCCTTTCCTATCTTTATTGCTTTAATTTCTTTCTCTTGTCTAATTGCTATGGCTAATATTTCCAGAACTATATCAAAGAGGAATGGTGATAGTGGGCATCCTTGTCTTGTTCTTGATTTTAACGTGAAGGTTTTCAGTTTTAGGCCATTTAATATGATATTGGCTGTTGGTTTTGCATAGATAGCCTTTATTAAGTTGAGATATAGACCATCTATTCCACTTTTTTGCAGGATTTTTATCATGAATGGGTGTTAAATTTTGTCAAATGCTTTTTCTGCATCTATCAAGAGGATCATATGGTTGTTGTGCTTGATTTTCTTAATATAGTGTATTACATTTATTGACTTATGTATGTTGAACCGTCCTTGCATCCTTGGAATAATTCCGACTCGGTCAGGATGTATGATCTTCCTGATGATCCTCTGTATTCTGTTTGCTAGTATCTTATTAAGGATTTTTGCATCTATATTCATTAAGGAGATTGCCCTATAGTTCTGTTTTTTAGTTGCATCTTTCCCTGGTGTGGGAAACAGAGTGATACTTGCTTCCAGGAATGAATTTGGAAGTATTGCTTTCCTTTCAATTTCATTGAAAAGTTTAAAGAGTAGTTGCAGTAATTCTTCTCTAAATGTCTTTTAGAATTCAGCAGTGAAACCATCAGGACCTGGGCTTTTCTTTGTTGGTAAACTTTTAATTATATTTTCAATTTCATTGATTGTAATTGGGGTGTTTAAAATGTTTTTATCGTCTTTGTTCAACTTTGTTAATTCATAAGTATCTAGAAATCTGTCCATTTCTTCTGTTTTTTCTGTTTTATTAGAGTACAGGTTCTCAAAGTAGGTATTCACTATCCTCTCGATTTCTGTTGGATCTGTTGTGACTTCACCTTCTTCATTCCTAATTGCATGGATCTGAGCCTTTTCTTTCCTTTTTTTGATAAGGTTAGTTAAGCGTTTATCAATTTTATTTATTCTTTCAAAAACAACTCTTCAGTTCATTTATTTTTTGTATCATTTTCTTAGTTTCCATTGCATTGATTTCTACTCTACTCTTTATAATTTCCTCTCTTGTTCAAACTTTGGGTTTTTCTTGCTTTTGTTTTTCTAGGAGTCTAAGATTCATCATTAGGTTGTTTATTTGAGCTCACTTTGTTTTTCTAGTGTGGGCATTCAGTGCTATGAATTATCCAGGTAGAACTCCTTTCATTGTGTCCCATAGATTCATTTTCATTTATTTGTAAAAACTGTCTGATTTCTTCTTTAATTTCCCTTTTGATCTGTTGATTGCTCAGGAGAGTGTTGTTCAATTTCCATGTGTTTGAGAAGTTCCTACAGTTTCTTATGCTATTGATCTCCAGCTTAATTGCACTATGATCTGATAATATACAGGGAACACGTTCGATTCTTTTGCATTTATTCAAATGCAAATGTTCTTTGAGCTAGTATGTGGTCTATCTTGGAGAATGACTCCTGTGCAGCCGAAAAGAATGTATATTCTGATTTTGTGGGGTGGAACACTCTATAGATGTTTAATAAGTCCATGTGTTCAAAAGCTTGGTTCAGTTCTAATATTTCATTGTTGATTTTTTTTCTAGATGATCTGTCTCTTTCTGATAGTGGGGTGTTTAGATCCCCCACTACATTTGTATTAGTGCTTATTTCATTTTCCATGTTACTTAATATTTGTTTTATGTAGTTGGGGGCATTAATATTTGGTGCATATATATTTATGAGTGTCATCTCTTCCTCTTGAATTCTTCCCTTTACAAGGATGTCGTGGCCTCCTTCGTCTCTTTTAATCAGTTTTGGTTTGAAATTTACTTTGTCTGTGAATAAGATTACTACCTCTGCTTTTTTCTGGGCTGTTGCATGGAGAATTGTTTTCCATCCTTTCACTTTTAGTCTACGGGCTTCTTTTTGCACTAGGTGTGCTTCTTGTATACAACATATTGTATGATTTTGCTTTTTACTCCATTCTGCCAGTCTGTTTCTCTTGATTGGTGAATTGAGGCCATTGACATTGATGGTTATAACTGATATGTACTGACTTACTATTGTCATGTTATTGTGCTTTTGTTGACTCTTTTTAATTTTTTGCCCTCTCCTTTTAGTTTCTTGCCTTGCCTCTTTTATTTGCTCTGTTGGACCTCATGGTGTTGTGATCTTCATTGTCTTTTTTTA